ATGAGTTGCAAGCGACTCGATGGCACATAACAACAACAACATTCTTTACTGACTATGCCATTCATTCAGGCAAGTCAAATCGAAGGTCAACAGAAAAATGAGGAAGACTTTCAACTAGACAGCATTACAAGGTGGCTTCAACAATAGGCTAAACTAGAGCGAAGATTGAGAGGACTAAGGCACAGAGCAGGGTAGTGCTCCGTTAGATGGTACGTGGGGTCCCTATGAGCTGGCAGCACCCTGACAGCGCCTAACAACAACCACAACATAGCTGCATATTACAAACTTTGTTCTATTTCTTTTCCCCCTAAAGAAAAGAAGAGCTATTCTCTGAGAAATACGGTCAGTTCTACTTCTAAAGAAACGGAATGGGTAAGCAGTTTAAACTGTGTACCTTAAACAGGATAATACACATGAAATTTGAGCAAAGGTAAGCAGAAAAAGACAAACAGAAATATAATCTTTAACTCCAACAGTCCAAAATGAAAGAGAGTAATAAAATTCTTGAAAAACAATTACCACGTGGACTTTTAGCACAGTCTATCTCAAAGCAGTTTCAAAAATAGAGGAACACAATTAAATGTACCCCATAACCTTTACTTTCATGGTAATATTACAGTGTCTGACTTTCATTACATTTAAATGTCCTTTAAAAAAAGGAAACAAAATGTACTACTGACCTTTTCAAAAGGTCAAGTAACAATAATTCACTATTTCATTAAAGCACCTAACAGCATTATATAGTAACTTTAACTTAGCCTTGTAGACATCACACACATAGGTGTACGAACAATCTGGAATTCAAAGTTTACATGAAAAATAGTAAAACTTTCATACTGCAGAGGCTCTGGTGTGATCAGAAAGAATAAAATTGCAAAGTCCCTTCTCTGCAAAATTCAGCCATTTTTAAAAGGTCAAAAACCATGTCATATGCCACAATCCTTTCCTGATTCAAGAAAATGTCCAAAGTTAGTCTTTTGTAGTTAGGATATAAGATATGTAGGATAAAGGATAAGAGCTTGTAATAATTCTCAAGAAGATTTTTTTTAAAATAAGTAGATTTTTAAGGTCATAGGGAACAAAAGTATTAACTGTTGCAAGTCTTATCTCTCCATATGGTATTCAAGAAACTTACATTAACAATAAACAGCATGGCAGCAAAACAAGTTAATGACATTGAAACTTTAAATAACCCCTATAAAAAATTATTTAAAAAATTCTAAAAAAATTAAAAACACTTCCCAGCAATGTGCAGTCCTACATACACACAGATGTGAAAAGCAGGAGCTAAAATAATAATGAATCCTAATATACCAGAGCACAGGATTCAAGGGGCAGTCTTGGAAAAGTAAAGGCTAAGGCATGTTTAGAAACGCATTAGGGCTAAGAGATTGTACAAAGTAGAGCAAAGGCACCCTTTGGAGACTGGGTGGCGTTGGAAAAACAAAGCGTAAGCAGGTGAGGATCGTATAGAAATCAAAAGAAAATCGCAGGACTCCTTTCCACAGAAGCTTAAAAATAAACAAACAAACCCATCCATTAAATAAACTGCACTTTTCTTGACTGACAGAAGAGGGTGTTCATAAACTAGAAATTTTATAAAACACTGAACGAACTAAACTGTTCACAAAGGCAAAGAAGTCATCTACATGTAAACCTACTATGTAAATCTACTAATGTAAGCCTACTGTTGTTGTTGTTGTTGTTATGTGCCATGGAGTCGCCTGCAACCCAAAGTGACCCTATGTACAGCAGCTCTTGACCCTGCCCTGTCCTGAGTCAGTCTCACTGATTCTGACACACCAACACCCAAAGCCCCAGTCACTGTGTCAATCTAGATGGATTCCACGCCTGCGCTGTACCTCCACCCTTCTGAGCATGATATCCTTCTCCAAGGACTGGTCTCTCGTGGCCACGTGCCCAAAGTATATGATACAGAGAGCTTCAAACTCCTAGCTTCTAAGGAGAAGTTTGGTTTCTCCCTCTTCAAGACAGACCTATTCATTTTCTTGGTAGTCCATAGTATGTTCAAGACTGTTCTCCAGCACCACAGTATAACTCTACGCTGAGAAGAAAATAGAAAACGTTCTCGTTTTAGGTGATGATAATTTCCAGTACCAACAAAAATTACAAAGCATAAATTAGAATACTGAATTGAGTATCATTAAGTGAGAATTTCTACTCAAATTCAGAAAAGAAAAAAGTGGGGTGAGAAATTGTAGTAGGCATGCACACATGAAGAAAATGAAAACAAAACTAAAATGAGAAAACTGAAGATTAAATGAGAAACTCCTGAAGGACAGAGTCAAAATTTTGGTAAGAACTGAAAATTCCTAAACAAGAAAACTAAACACACTAAGAATTGTCATGGAAGAGTGGTTGAAATAGACCACAGGCAGAGAAAACCAAACACACATATAACTGGAACCTCCAAGAAGAAAAACAAGATAGTAGATAATATATATCTGAAGTTCTAATTCAAAACCACTTTCTGGAAATATATACTTAAAAGAACTAAACACATGCAAAAGTTGACTTGCCACGTTCTGCTTTGAGGCATACCTTTAATAAGTAGATGAGAAAATACTTAAAAATTTAGATTTTCTAGGGGAGAAAATAAGCATTAACTTGTTTGGCTAACAATAAGATTAGAGCACCAGATGTCTCAAAACAGCACCAAAAACCCAACAACAGAATCAAAGTTTTAAAGACTAAAGGAGTGTATCTGCTTCTAGCTGGGATGAAATAAT